TATAATGTTTGTTAACACTGGACTAGCATCTGAGAAACATTAAGACAACAATTTACAACAAAGTATACTGAAAATTAAAATAGATGTAAAAACATACACGCACACTCACACACACACATGCACAAAAAGAAAATCGGCTTGTGTTGCATGTGTGATCCAACACACTGCAAGTCCTGGGACCACAAAAATAAAATTAGACATAAAGGGCACATCACTGTGCTTCATTTTAGCCAAGACGGCACATTCAAAGACTATAATCATGGCAACACGCACTGTTTCTTGCAAAAACACCATTAACCAGGGAAAGGAAATACCCAAAAGAAGGTAATGTTCACATTATCAAACAATATCAGGCAGTTGATTTGATACTGATTGCTCTGTTATTAACGTAGTTCTCTTCAGGCCTTTAAAATGTTAACACAGCTGTGTAGCATACAACATAAAACAACAGTGAAGAAACTGAGCAAGCCTGTGCACCACGTTTGACAGACTTTACTTCAGTAAACCTAATACTCCCATCCTCTCTTACTATCTGTACATGTTGGCTTGCTATGCCTGCTTTTAAAGTAAGTTACAATGTCCTACTTATGGAATAAAAAAAGTCATACAGAGCTACATTGTTGCAGACACATATCCTGGCACCACTGGTGACTTTGACTGAACTTGAAAATAAACTGATTACAAATCTAACCTGGCTGACTGGAGATGTGGTGCTGTAATCAAACACACACACGCACACACGTTGCAGTGAGGTTATGTGTGGAGACTTCCTTTTGTGCTCGTGTCCATTACTGTAATGTACATGTACGATATGGTTGTATCTATATGCATCTGTGGTATGTCTGTGCAGATGAATCTAAGCATTAAGACTGTACTCCTGCTTGTAGCAGCAGGGCCGGCAGACAGCGTTGACTAGGCCATTTCCCAGTTGTAGGAGACAGATGATGAACTCCAGCACTGCCAGGCCCAGTAAGACACACAGCAGAGTGATGTTCCACTCTATGATGTTAACCGGCTGAAGGCACCGTGTCCACGTTTCTGGCTGCAGAAGATACCTGGGACAGAGAGTAAGTGTGATTATCAAAGAGCAAGTCACAAACTGGTGAAGGCATAACTCATAGGTGTCAAACTCTGGCCCGCAGCTTAATTACATTTGGCCCGCGAAGCCATACCAAATTACTATTAGAGCTGGCCTACTGGTATTATACAGCTACTATATATATATTGTTTAGTATTAAGCTTTGCTTGTTCCATATTCAGTTTTCCAGCAAAACTTATTTGAGTCCATAAAAAAAGATTCATTCTTATATCTGGAGAAAGATTTTTTTTTCAATAAATATTAATGTTAGCCCGCGACTTTGTTCCAGTTTAGAATTTTGGCCCACTGTGTATTTGAGTTTGACACCCCTGGCATAACTGATCCAGAAAATTAGAGCAAGTGCTGTTGTGCTACATTCTCTCCAGAAAGGCAGCAAAGACTCAAATGCAGAAATCACCCCGACCTGGTCACGGCAGATGGCTGCCCCTCCCTGAGCCTGGTTCTACCTGACTTTTTCCTTCCTACTGTTGCATATTTTTCTTAGGTGCCATATTTTCCGCACTATAAGCAACACTTAAAATCCTTTAATTTATTTCTAGTTTTCACCTAAACACAATATACCATGTTCTGACTGAAATTTAAACGACCAGTGAGCAGCAGGCTATAGTATGGAGTGACATATCAGTGTCCAATGTGGGTTTTTTTATGTGCAAGTAAACCATCAACACTGACACAAATACAAGAAAACTGCCTCTGAATAGCTGTCCATTATGGATGAAAGGGTTAAGCACTTTAAGGAGACTATTGTTGTGATTTAGTGCTACATAAATAAAACTGAAGCGAACTGATAAATGAAGCAGACAAAATGTGATGAGTTGATTCAAAGTGTTAAATTAAGAGCTTTCCTACTCTAATTTTAAAGATGAGGCCTTAAGGGAGGACCGTGCAAGTGAGGGAGGTCACTTGTAGACTGAAGAATCATAATAAACTATCAGAGAGAGAGCAAAAGTTTTAAGAGTGGTCAAATCAACAATCTGGTGCTTTTTTAGAATAAATGAATGCACAAATCATTTCAGCCTGAAAGGCCACAGACAATAACTAAAGTGTATGATACAATTATTGACAACATTATTTATACTCCAGAAAAACATCAACTTTGCAACATCTAACCAAGTCTATAGTCAAGACCTTAATATATAGAAATATAGGGTTTACAGCCATGTACAAACCACTGGTTATAGAGCAAAAAATACCAGACTATACCAGTAAATGGCTATACTCTCTGCTCAGCTTCAGCTAAATGCTGCAAAACTAATCGAACAGCACAAATGCACAGTGCAAATTTTCTCAAGGTAACCAAACGGGATATTCTTCAACGGTCAAGTTAACTGATCTCATCCCAGCATGCTTTTCAGTTAATGGAGAAAAACGTGAAGGCAGAGACCCACAACTGAAGGTGACTGATCTTCTTTATTTTAATTACCTGATATAATACACAGTAATAATGCATAAATAATAATGCATGTGATATAATCTCTTTTCATAGTTTCTGTGTAAAAGCGTGCTTTTAATAATCGTTCTTTTATTACTCAGTGTTGCAGCAATATAAGTTAGAGTTACAACTTTTTCATCTGTACTAGAAAGGTCAGTAAAAAATACAGTTGGTTTTCTGTTTGTTTTGTTTTTGTACAGGTATTTATATTAAAAAATTACCTTTGTATTCAAAATACTGATAATCTTTCAGAAGACGTAAGAGAGCTGAAATAATAAACTGAATACGAAAGTGAAAAGCACGAAAGACTGCACAAGTCATTTCAAAATCTTACCTGAATACTTACTTTATGACGTTTCATAGACAACATTAACTGATAACGAAACGATTGTTACACAACGCCGCACAAACCACGCACCTATGCAGGCATCTACATCTTCATACATAAAGCGCTAGGATGTATCCTTACCTGCCCTTTTGGTCTGCAAAGGGATACGACCATCCATACGAGGTGAAGCATTGGGGGCCCTGCAGGAGTGCATACCCTGATACGATGAAACAGTAGGCAGACCCCACCAGACCAACCACAGCTGCCAACACTGACCCACACATCTACAGAGGAACAGCAGCACACAAAGGGATTTTTAAACACGTGCTTTCGTGTTTTTGTGCAGCTTTATTTCTGCATGAGTGAAAAGCTGCTTCATTTATGCATTTCATAAATGAGATACAGAGGCAGCTGCCACACACACACACACACACACACACACACACACACACACACACACACACACACACACACACACACACACACACACACACACACACGTGTATCTGCAGCTGTGCCTGTGGCCTGAAGGGTGTGAGCCAAGCTTACTTTGTTGAGTGTTACCTAACAATGGGGGCCTTGTTGAGTTATCATAGCTGGCTTAGAATTAGCATTCAGTTCATAAGGACACAGTGTTGGGCAGCTTAAAAACTTTACCCTTGTAATCAAGCAAGTAGTGAGAAAAAAAAGGAAAACATTTAGATTTAGAAAATGAAAATGGCAGCCGGCGTTTTGGAAATAACGGCCTGCATGTTGCGAACCCAATTTTCTGTGCAGCACAGCGTCTCCTTTGTAGATTTTTAAGCATTATTTACAGCTTAGCACGTCTCTTACCATTAAACTCTCATTCCAGCAGCAACTACATTTCCCCAGCGTGGTGAAGGCAACAGCTGGAACCAGCATCTAAAAGTACAGAAAGTATTTGTTATTTGTTTTATTGACCATTAATAACACCCAATGACAGCAATTTGGTTACTAGGAGCTGCCAGAGTAATTCAGTGCTCTATACCAGCATCTCTACTGCCACCTACTGTTGATCACCGCTTACAAGTCAAATCCTGTGTTTCATTCATACAGCATATACCACAACGTTTTCTCAAAGAGCTTTGCAATCTAGCCAACATGTGGCACACTCTATCCTCAAATGTCATGTTGCCGCACTAAATACTGTACAAATGTCACCTAACAACAAATCACATATATTCAACACAATCAGCGTGAAGCTGTAATGTTCATTCAGCTGTTAGTTTTTTAATGGGACTTAGTCTTAGAGCTATTCTTGGCTTCATGTAGGTGGTGAAAAATGTGACTATTCTCCCTGAGATCCAAATTCAAAGTGATTTTAATGATACATATCATATACTGTTTGACTTTGGTCCAAAACAAAATGGCCAACCTCCTGCCCTAACAGAGAGAAACAGTTTGCTATAGCTGGAGTTAATTAATAGTGCACATTAAACATAACTTTATGACAGACCCTTCTGCGTCCCAATGGTACCAGTAATTTGAGATGGGCAAACATGAGCACAGGCCATTTAAAGTGCAGTGTGAATTGCGGCAGCTGCCACATAGTGTACTTGTGTGTACAACTCAAGAACTAAAGGCAATCCAACATTTGTTTGTTTCAGGAATTGACTTTTTATCTTCTTCATCCCTTATTTTCTGTCCTCCTCTTCCCTGTGTCGGTATCTTTTGCTCTCCTACTACATCGTAAAAGAGGAAAGGCGGTTCCCTTGGTTTAACACATTAACGTATGAACAGAAACAAAGAGAGGGATCAGAGTGTTGTTCCACATCCTGGACATCCCTCTTAAAGCCCCATCCTATAACAGAGGCAGCAGGGGAGGCTGACGACAAGCAGCGGCGGGAGGTGCACAGTGAGAAAGGAAGAGAAGGAAAAAGGACGCCAGAAGAGCAAGGAAGAGGAAGGGAGTAACCCAAAAATAGATTATGTCCTGATTGGTTCAGTTTGCTCTTTGACTCTCAGCATTTGGTCATTTCCACAGAGAAAGATAAAGCCCAGAGAGGGAAAGACTGACACAAACTCAGACTAAAAATCATTCCTTTCTCAGACAAAGAGGCCCAAGATGGATTTTAGTCAGACTGCCCTTTATAAGTATTTTATCAGGCTTGTTTAAAAGTAATTACACTGAGAACCTTTTAGCAGTTAAAGACGTGACATATTACAGAGAAAGAGCAGGAAAGTGAGAATATACCGTGTAAGTCAGTATGGTTTTCAGGCTTCTTTCCTTTATCCTATGCAGGATTTAAAGGTTTAAAGTTCTCTCTCTCATAACTTCACAGGCCTTCATACCAACAGCTATCAATGCCGCCGTACAGACTCATCACACTCAGAATTTTTCTTTTAAAAGAAAGGTTCAAAACCTGCCATAAGTGGTGCCTGTTTTTGAAAGCTTGAACATTTCAATTAAGACCAAATTGAAAAACCAGAAACATAGGCAAGGGCGATAGTGGAATGCACAACATCCAGTCTTTATCGTGTTGTTCTTCACAAAGTCTTGATGCTACAACTTGTACAAACCCTGAGCACTTTCACAGACAAAGCATTTTTTTTTTACTCAAAATGTGCACGTGTTCTGCTGATTAACACACTCGGTCTTGTCTGGGGGGGGATTACAGTCTTTCCTCTGTTCCTCCACAAAACCAAATTAAAAGAACAGCTCCGTTCTGCTCAGTCCGAGCATAAACCCATCAGATCAGCGGCATGCAGAGCAGACGGATTAACTGTGGATGCACACAAAACTCCATTGTTCTCACTGAGCAACTGCAAACACTCTGTCTGAAAGGTGCTGATGGGAAAACGACCAGAATTTAACAAACTTTTGACGTAAAATCAAAACTCAACCAAAATCCTCTCAACTACAACTGAACTAATTTAGTAGAAGTTAAAAGCAAGTTGAAAGCATAAATGAGTTCTGACTAGTATCAACTTATCAACAAAAGCGAGGCTTTCTTACACACAGTGGCACTGCCATTGATTACATGTGCCAGCACCTGCTGCACTTACTGCTGAATGAGGGAGGCAGGAAGGTGACATAAGCATCCAGCAATTGTAACCATGCTTTTAAAGGATTTCATCTGCTAACTGGGTAGTGTTTCAGAGTCACATGGTCACGGGTGAGAGAATGCTTCTTACACACGGCAGTGAAAATGACTCATGATAAACAATGGCTGGCTACAAATGAAAAGGAAGTCTCACTACACTGAGAATCACTGAATTTCACCCTTTCACCTCATCTAAAGGAGATAGATACACCACTGGCATCTGTCCCAAATCACATTGCTGCCACATATTTTAAATTTTCCAGAGTATGAAAAAAAATGCTTATTATGTAGCATCCAAGCTGAACTTTTAGTAAAAGGACATTGAACTTTATACCATGTGATGTCACGTTTTCAGTAACAGCTCATCAAATGGAACACAAATAAACCTTCAGACACACAAGCTTCTAGTTTCTTCTTCTTCTCCACTACAGCTGCCAACTGTTCAAACAGCAAAAAATGAAAAAACAAACGCTATTACGATCAATTATTTTGGAGCATTTGGACAGGGTGTTGTCTAAAGCCTCAAACTTCAAAATGTCGTACATACAAAAAATATAGACAAATAACCAGCTAATTTTTCTATTATTGATTGGCAATTCTCCATGTAATACAAAGTATAAAATAAATGAATCTTTGAG